CCTTGTGCTCAACAGTTTTGCCAAACTTGATGCCACTGCAGCTAAGAATATACTGTAGGATAGCAGCAGTAGCAGCAGGAGCAGAGTAAAGATTTGTTGTGTGAGGTGAGGTGAGGTGATTGTTTTGCTGCGACTGTCAACCGGTGTCGATGGCTTCAACTCCTCCATAGGTGTGAATACTGACACTGTCTACTTTCTTCTCACCATTACAGCGAACGACGTGGTCGCCAACTGGTACCAGGAGGCATCTCGATTCAAGTACGGACGCGAGCCCGTCAGCATACAGGGGATTGGTGAGTCCAGATACAGCATCCCCTCACATTGATCCCCGACGTGCGTCACAGTGACATCTCTCCATGCTGCTCACCCAACCCACTCTCACTTGACAGCTCACAAGCTCGCAGTAATTCCTGTGGCTGCCAATATTTGTAGTCTCTTCCTCCTTCTTTTTGGTGGTCCTCTCACAAGTCCACCATTTTTTGTTTTTGGTGGTGGTGGTGGTGTGCAGGAGGGCGGAAGTAAGGGGAGGGGACTTATTGGACATTGAGTGTGTAGTGAGGAGGCAGAAGGCGGCACAGCAGAAGAGAACCTGTCGAATCCACGCCTGTGGGGTTGCCCTCCTCCGCTACCACGGTGTTCCAACTCATTTTTCACCTCCCGTTCACGAGGCACATTTTCTCACAAAAAACTATGATGCACTACAACGTTGTCTTAGCTTCACCGATTTCACAGTCAAGGCAGCAGTGAGTAGCACTGACAGGCACTGAGATGCAGGTACGTCATCGCTTTGGGACATCTCCACAATTTATGATCAAATTCGCTCACACTAATGAGACCCTGTTTTAAAATTTCCTGTACGATGTTGCCTGGACACACTAGTTTGCATGAGAAGGGCAGCCTCTGTTGGGGCACAGGTGGAAGGAAGGAGGAGCGGCAAGACGGAATGATTACATTGTATCCACTGAAGCACACAACACTGCAGTTTCTGCAAATTGCTGCCTCCTTTTCAGCATCCGCAGTGCTGTGCACGACTATGCGCTTGGATGGGTGCAATGCTTATGCCACTCCTAATTGCCTGCTTTTCCGACCCCACT